TCCTCAAAAATAATTGTGTCATGACTCAATTATTTATATGTTTTAATAGTGACTCAAATAATTGTATCAAATAATTGTATCAATTGCATCAAGAATCTATGAATTTCAGCAACATGTATAATATATATATTAAAATTGAATTTTAATCTTATTCAAAACTATTGTAATTAAATTATATAATAAATAATTAAAATTATATTTAATTTAGATTTATATTATTAATTTAAAGATTTTTTATAATAATATACCTATATGTATAACAATTATTTTTTTACTATTATTAATTACTCAAATATTTAAATTTTAAAAGAACAACTATATTATATATTTAAATTTTTTTTAAATTTTTTTTAAATTCTTTTATTTATTAAATTTATATTATATTTGAAAAATAAATAGGTATATCAAAAAATTTTTTTATCATGACTTGAAAACAAATTTGTATAAAGTAATTATAATGCTTTTCTATATCAAGATATTTTTGCCTATTTTAAATCAAGGCATTTTAATTTATTCAAACTATAAGACAGATTTAAAAAATTTTTTTTCAATATTAAACTTGAATAATACTTTTGATTAAAAGCAAGTTTAATTTGTATAATTTACATTTAAATTATTATATATTTAGTATCTAAAAAACTTATTCAAAATAAAAATTTATTGAAACAGAATTATTAACTTCCAATACATAAATGATTTACTATATATTATATTTTTTTTAGTTACGTAATGAAAATAATATATAACTTTAAAATGCATTTAAAAGTATATGAAAATTTCGTTTAAATCATAAAATCAGTTGCAGAAAAATTCTAGAACGATAAAAAATTTCTCCCAATTATTTATTCATTTTACTTGAATCACGTGACAACATCATGTTTATAATGGAAGTTATTACTTTGCTTTTCTTGTACGAGTTACGCGGCCTTGGTCACAAATACAATAGTCCATAGAACGTAAAGATGTTCGTCGGCTTCGATCTAATCTTGACTTTTCAATAACCATTTTATAACGGATTTCTTGAATACGATGTAAAGTCTCCTATTAAAAAAAAAAAAATTAACAAACCGCATAGATATAATCAAAGTGAATGAGATACTCTACCTCCACACGCAACAAATAGACTATAAGCTTCTCTATGGCTGGCAAAATAGCAACTGATGTAGGTAGTTTAACCTTCTGTAATAGACCTAAACGCCAAACACCTTTACATTTCCAGTCCAGTCCATATATATTATAATTATAATCTAAATTGAATAGATCAGATTATGTATTAAGAATATAACGGAAAGAACAATTAGAATGATCGAACTTACCATATGAAAGTGCTCCTAGAACAAAAAGTTTTTGGAACTTGCTTGGTTCTATACCATTGTTTTCTATACCTTCATTGACTAACACATCCCGTAATGAAACAGCTAAGTCCACCTTATCCATCCATTTTTTCCCTTTTGTTGCTAGAGGAAGACCTCCAGATCTTAAACCAATTAGCATCTCAAATTGATCTTTACTAATCCTGAAGTCAACTTTTTGACGGATTAAGCTTCTGCCTGTGGGCTTTGTTTTGAGATTGGAAATTACAGACGAAGCAAGACATTGTATCTCACCTCTGTGTATAATAAGTTAATCAATTTGGCAAATGTATAAATAACGAATATCCAATAAAAAAACTTACTCTTCATAACGATAGATTTGGTCAAAGGTCAATATCCCTTTTGTGACCATATTCGTGAAATCGCTTCCAAATGCGACATCTGACATTGGCAATTGTAAGCGTTGAAGATTGTATGCACTATTTAATTTAAAGTTGTTAATTATTACCATCAAAAAGTCAATAGAATAGACAAAAACTTACTAAGTTTGAATAAGTCTTCTAATGGCGTTCATTTTTTTATTCTATAAAATGAAAATCATTAGAACGCGCTTTCATAAGAAATCAATACAGTGAGTGATATACGTACTTGGCTTACACAGCTTTCAATGCTGGTAATTAGGTCGTAGGGATTGGTTGCTAATACCTAGATAAGAACAGAAATGAGTTGATATGCCAAATAAAAAACATTATTAGAAATTCACTAACCTCAGTAATTTTGTCCATTAATTTATAAAGCGGCTCATCCTGCTCTGGTTCTAAATCACTCAAATTCACATTACTTTTAAAATCTTCAACCATCTCATTCCATTCGTCGTCTGTAAACAAATTTTTTACTTCAATATCCTCTCCAGAAAGATCTAATATTCCAAAATAGGCCGGACTATAAATAAAAATATTAAAGTTAAGAAACAGGCAATAGAAAAATATGTTTACGCTTACAAATTAAAGGTAACTTACTAGAGGTATGCCTTTGAGCGAGGAATTTTTTCACGATATTTGGACAATATTGCATTAACATCTCTCCCACTCGACAAAATCCATTTTGTAGTGGGATCAGTCGAGGTCTAAATTAAAAGAAGGGATGAGTGTCAGGTGAACAAGAAAGGAGATAATAACATAGACGTTAATATACGAACATTTTCTACTGTGATTTCTTCTTCTTCGCAGTACTCTCCATAATCCCGGAATATCATATTATCGTCAGCATCACTATCTTCTAATACAATGTCCGAGTCCATACCGAAAATTTTGTTGCCATCAAAATCCACCTCATCGTTTGGATCAGCATCTGATTTGTCGCCAAAGATCAGCTTGTCTACATCTTGTTCCTTTTGCATTCGTTTCGTCACTCGCTTTTCCTCAAAATCACAAATTCCCTTTCTCTTTGTTAGTAAATTAGTTTTCTTTTCTAACACATTGGTCCTTATTTGGCAAGCATTTTGTTCCTAAATAGTTTAAATAAACGAGTTAACAACAATAACTTCACTAAAGCTTATTAAATGTAGATAATTACTTCTTTTTCTTGTAATATTATTTGTGCTGTATTAGTGACAGTTTTTTCTGCGATAACTTTAAGATCGTTCCAATATTGTTGTACAGCAAACGAATTAATAAAGTTGTCGAAATTATGGAGCAGTCTTGCAGCTTTCACAGAATGTGCACCATCCTTAGATTTAATAATTCCCAATGTTTCGAAGAGCGCTTTTTCTGCATTCTCCTTTTGAGAAAATGTGAATTCGGCCTTTTTGAAAAATCTAATGGCAGTAACTTTTTCAGAAGACAGGATTTCTTCTAATAATCTTACATAATCCTTACAAATAAGAACAATGATATATATATTAATATCGCGAATTCTGTCAGATTCAATTGCAAGTCAAGAAACCACAGTACAAACCATAATGTTTTCTAAAAAACATAAAGATATTAAGAAAAAGTTAATAAAAGCCAAAAACAGAATTTTTACATTTTTCTCATTTTTAAGCCCGAAACATTCTCCAGACAACATAAGATCAGCGCTTTAACTATAAGAGACGCGCACGTTTCGAAGACAAATCCTGAGGAAGATGTCTCCCCTCAGGCTTTACATGCTTAGGAACCGCTGGACATAAGGACCAGAACCTAATGCATCTTTCGAATATCGTCATGCAACCATTTCGAAGACAAATCCTGAGGAAGATGTCTCCCCTCAGGCTTTACATGCTTAGGAAATGCCAGGCTTACAAAAAATACTAAAGAAATCAATACTTAACTTTTCGCAAAGCTTAAGGTCTGTCAGTTGGTAAAAAAAAAAACAACGCGAAAAAAAAAAAAAACACTTTCATACGCGTTTTTAACTGTGACACAAATCATATGGACTGTGCTGACCAATTAAAATATGCATTCGATATTTTATTATATGCCTCCCGAAAAAATACTTACTCTAGCATTGTTTATTATACAGAGAGAGACCTCCCTAAATGCACCCTCTATAAATGCACTTACTATATTTTCTCTCTCTAAATGCACGGTCAAGCTTGG